CCGCTGCAATCGGCGGTGCCTCGCCCACCGCCACCGCGCTCTCGGACGCGGCAGCGCTCAGCAACAGCAGCTGCGCACCCACCACCGCTGGCTCATCGCGGAGGTCCAGGTTGACTTTGATGTTCCTGGCGATCTGTAGAGACATGTCATCGTCGTTGTTGCTGTCAGGAAGCGAAAGGACGACTCGTAGCTCCTTGGCCAACTGCAAAAGCTTCTCCTGCAGCAAGGAATCCAGGCCTCCTGGTCCATCGCCAGGTATGCTACTTGAGCGAGGGCCAACAGCGCGCTGCGGAATGCAAGAGGGGATTCCGTGCCCTCCCGCTTCCTTTGCTGGAATCTACGTTTGGCGACTGACCGCGGCTCGTACACCTTGCTCATTGCCGCGAATGCCCCGTCCAGTGTTGACCTGACGGTGGCAGGGAATCCATTAAATGTCGCCAAGGTATCATCATCGAGGGCCGTCGGCAGTGCCCGCAGAGCGGCACCCTCAGTCCACTCCAGAGATTGATAAGCCGCTCGGAACCGTCTTGTAAATGCCGTCCAATCCCCAACTTTGGCCTCGAACCGCTGCACATGAAGTCGCCGTGCTGTTCCCAACGGTGGAGCTTCATCGTCGTCGGATTTCTCCAATCGCTCCGACCCCGCGGCAACATCTGCTAGTCGACTTGACACCGTCGGTTGCACCTGGTCCGATGTCACAAAGCGGTTAAACGCCTCCGTCAATGTCGCCATCCTGGCCTCCCACTGGGCCATGAGGACTCTCCAATCACCCGACGGTGCGGGGGTCTCGGCCTCGCTCGAACCGCTGTCTCATTCTCTAGACTCTCGTTCAACCAGGCCCTCCGGAGGAGTATCGGCCACTTGGCAGGACACGGGCAGCACGTCCTCGTCGTTGCTGTCGTCGGATGAGTCCACCGGCACGTTCTTCTTCTTGGCCGCCTTCCTTGACATCTCGGCATGGTTCGTAGTCACTCTGACACCCAATGTAGTGTTCGATTTCACTCGGACAACTTTTGTCTTTCTTCGAACACCGCTTTATTTACAACTTTCAGCATGTCCTCAATATTTTACAGTATCCATGTCGTCACGGCTCGCTCACCGTGCTTAACTCGACTCGCTCGCCACCTTTGTCTCTCCACTCCCCATGATTACTTCGCTTACTCTGCCGCTAACTTCTTCGTCTCCGCTCTCCGCTATCACCGTCGCTATGCTCACTCCACTGCTAATTGCTTTGTCTCTGTTCACCGCTATCACCATCACTATGCTCTCTCCACTGCTAACTGCTTCGTCTCTGTTCAGCTTCGCTATCGCTATGCTCTCTCCACTGCTGGCTGCTTCTCTTCTTCAGCTCCGCCATCGCTACGCTCTCTCCACTGCTGGCTGCTTCTCTTCTTCAGCTCTGCTATCGCTATGCTGTTTCCAATGCTCCATCTCCAACTCTGTCTCTCAAACTCTGTCTCTCCACTCTCTGTCTCCAAGCTCTCCACACTTCAATTCCCTGCTGTTGACTCCAACTTCAATTCCCCGCTGTTCACTCCAAGCTCTCCAACTTCAACAACCTCGCTCCAATTGCCGACCCCCCAATTTATCCCCGCTCTCATTACTCCCCAATTAATTAGTCCGCGTCCCAACCACGCTCCTCGTCGTTCGCACCTGCTTCTCCTCCAGACCTTTAGGCGCGACTCTAGACTTGGCAACAGCTCCAGCCAATCACAGCCGTCCTTGGCTCACCCAGCTTAATTGCCCTAATATAACCTGCACTGTATTTGTCCTTCGCTACAGGCTGACCCAACATAACCCGTACTGTCTGTGTTATGTAATCACGCTGTTTCCACTATGCACCTTCCTACTCCACTACACATGTACACTAATATACACACTCTCATATATGAATATACCACACTCACTCACATGTACACACTTTACACACCCCTGTTTGAGTCTGCAGTTTTAATGTGACAGTATTTTTTTACAGTGAAAATGAATGCAAGGAATCTTCATATAATAAGGATTCACATTCATGAGGCGCAATTCATCCAGTGATATGAGTGCGCCATGGACAAATTAGTGAATATACGCATGTATGTGCGTTATTTACTTTCGTTACTGTATGTGTATGTAGGTGTGTAGACGAGGAGTAGTAGTGTCGTGATTAGCGCTACGCTACGCTATGAACCCGGCGTCCCGGGTTCGATTCCCGCTCACGACCAACACCGGTGACGATTATCTGAACCGGACCTGGGCCTCCCTCTAGGTCGACTCAGCCTCAAATGAGGACCTGGTGCGGTGTGTAAACATTGCCACTAAGGATACAAAGGCGGTCGGGGTGGTGTAGGTCACTGTTGTATATGTTGGTTGTGAAAATTTTGATGAAAATAATAAAAATTAAATGAAATTTGGAATTTGCGTAATTATCCGCAATTATGTTAGGTGATGCAATTATGCGCATAAATTATGCTAATTCGAGATATAATCATATTCATTAATGCTCGTGTGTGTGATTATGCTATTGCAATCCGTTATTATGATTAGGCCCCGCCTCGCTGACGAGGGTCGGATTATCAATCGGAATAATACAATTCTTCGTATGAAGTTATAGCAGGTGCTGTGAGCATGCCAGAGTCAGCTCGGCTTCCTTGTTTAACTTCGTATTATCGATCGGTATAATACAATTATTCTCGTTTTAACATTTACTGAGTGTATTAGTGTGTTTATGTCAGGTCTCCAAATTGAGATCTCAACGCAGAATACAGTTCTTATAAATAAGATTATTACGCACGAAATCAGGAAGGACACACGCAACCACTTCTGCGTTAATCAATTTTATTCTAAACAAAACTTTAACATAAGGATATGCGAACTCTCAAGCTCGGAATTTTCAACACAGCATCAACACAGTAAACATCAACGATTGCGTTGTTTCACTTTGACAACTGCACATATCATTAATTCCACTGCGTAACGCGAGCTTAATTGGTGATAGGGAGAGTCGTTAAAACATGCAGGCACGCTATTCTACACAAAAACCTTAACACTCTAATATGGAAATTTTTGTACTTGAAATTGTCAGCATAGTACTACAGGCAATGTTCATTTCATTGATCCATCTCTTCAACCCTCAATAATCACGTTGTTAATTGGGTAACGGAACAATTGATTGCTTCCTCTGGGTACCACGAGCATATGGAAAATACGAATAAAAAGTCCTTAGTAGTTCATCCGACGATATTCATGCGAAAAGGCAGTCAAAACAATTATTATTCTCAAAGGCAAAAGTATACGTCAATGGATTCATCGGCAAGATTATGCCATTAAAAGAAAACGAACGACTGAGATACTTCTAAATGACCGTATCCACGTAACTCAATAGGCAGCAATGTTCTTCACGATCAGCACCTTGGAATGTCACTCTTCTTGATTGTCCCGATATGCGTGTTGTGTGTCTTCGTGAAACAGACGCAGGGTGATGCGTCGTGAGGGTGAGAGTGTGGGGGGAGGGTTATACGAACTGCTTTGTTCTCTTGCTCGGGGCGTCGGCTTGGCTGCTCGTGCTGGCAGATACGGTCTCTTTCCACTGATGTAGTAGCTGCGCCGCACGTGCTCTCTGTGGAGATGCTCGAACGCGCTCTTTGCTGGTTCGCTGACTCTTTTGCTCATGGGCGGCTGGTCAGGCTCTTTCCATTGCTGGATGAGCCAAGTCAGCACACGCTTGGCTGCTGGCAGCTGGCACTCAATGTAGAATAAAAGTCTTTTAGCGATATTTCTTTCAGCTCTGAACTCACACTCGGTGGCACATCGCTACTCTGCCAGCCTCGCATCCTCGGTTGATCGCGGGGCCCCCTTGGAGCCTGCCGCTCGCCACCCTCTTCTGGCGCTTGCTGAGCTGTTGTCTTGTTGAACTGTCGAGTGTGCTATTGTCGCTCACTCTCAAAACTTGAAAATTGTATTTGCACACCTCTTACACAACTCTGATAGCTTAGTATGATACAGCTTATCGCAATCCTCGATTCTGCAAGCGACTCAAAACATCAGGATGAATGTATAATAACTTTCAGCGATACTCTGTCTGCCCATGCCGAACTCAGCACCTAACGTCCCCTCGCCCCTCTTCTCTGCGGGACACAGCACCCATTGCTAATGTCTCGAGGCCATGCCTCGGAGCTGGCTTGATGTCTTCTTCCGAACGCTGTCTCGCTGTCCTTTGCGGAGCTTAAATGTGAAATTCCCTCTCCTCTCTCCGCGTCTCTTGCGAGAGAGAGAAAAAAACAGATGCCCTCCCCGTCCGCTGTCTCACCGCGGTCGCGCGCGTGATTGCCCCCCTCCCCTCTTGGTGACCCCGGGCGGCTGTGTTACATCAAACAGGTTTGTTTGTGAATTGTCCTTTGGCAATCTGGAGATTTTGCAGATAGTCGCTAACCTCTCTTTGCCCCGGAGGTTATTATTTATTTATTTAAACGACCTTTTTACGATCTCCCGTTGCTGTTTGCTGGTCCTTGTCGTAGCGGTGTTTATTTATTTATTTCAGTTACTATTTTAAAAATATCGGCAAATATTATTATTGATTTTAATTGTGGAAAAAGGGCCATATACAACACCACCCACCCCCTCGTGTGCCGTTCCGGCCTTCATAGGTGCTCGCTAACAGCACTTGCCCCTACAGTCTGTTAAGGCTACACGGGGGATCTTTGTCTTTTTTGTAAGATGAGGTCTTGCAAAACAACACCCTTATGAACACAAACACGTTTCAGATTATAAAGGTACAGTGCAGTATAAATGAATGGATGATTGTGAGTAAACTCCTTTTTGTGAATGCCACCTATGATATATAAAATGTCTAACACAGAAGCATTGAACAATGAGCAGCTTTGCTCATGAACGTGTGTGCTCTGGTCACGTGCACCGCCATTGTGAGTGTCCCTCACTCACCGCGTGTTTGACTCCGCGGTTCCCGTGGGCTCAGTGAGTCAGCGCTGTCCCTTCCCCTGTCCACCCGGGTTTAGGCTGAGTGAGAACGAGATCAGAGACAGGGGACTCCAACTTTTAGCCGACGGGATGTTGGAGAGAGAAGGGAGTTTGGAGACGTTAGTGTTGAGTAATTTCCTGATGCACACACACTAATATAGGTACACCTAAACAAATATATACACATATACGGACACAAAACACAAATATACTCACTATACCATAATAATGTATTTAAACGTCGATTATAACATAATTTTTATGCACTTATCAATTAAGTTATTTGCCACACTTATTACAGCACTGTTAACCACTATTAAATAACAATACAATTACAATTGTCACATAACCAACTCTAACCAATGATATTGTTTTAAATTATATTATGTTAATATATTAGATCATCGATTATCCGGCAGCCAGATTTTCAAACACAACCAGATAATCGCATAATTATTTAAAATATCTTATTTTTGCATATTCTTAAATACGATTACATTTTGATTTAAAGCTTTCGTGACTGCAGTAATTCATATTTTTAGCTCTTTCAGTAAAGTCACGTTGAAGGGAAACAATAAAATAATAAAATATATATAATGTATTTTTATTGTTTTATATATTTTATTATTTATTGTTTCCCTTCAACGTGACTTTACCGAAAGAGCTAAAAATACGATTAGATTTTTAGGTGTTCTGTATATATATTTAGTGTTATTAAATAGTTTGCGATCTAAAAATCGCTAAAAGTAAATATACAAAGACAAAATGAATATTCTGCTGTAAAAAGTGACTATTTACTCTTATTGGTTCTTTCGGTAAAGTCACGTAGGATGGAAATAATAAAATAATAAAAATAAAACATTATAAAATTATCACGACGTTTCGGCCACAACATTTACTAACCGCACTCACCACTCCAATATCAAAGACTCTGCATGGGTGATTTGTGTACTATGCTCTTGTTAAACAACTTGTGCTTGACAACAACAACTTGTGTTTGTCAATAGTTGGACTGATGCAGCCTTCAGACCGGTGCTCTGGTGAATGCCGAATTCCACTCAATTTTCGCCAGATCGCACTTTATATTTTCTGTTTCTATGACTAGTTATTAGTCATGAAACATGTATATACGTGGAGTATTTTCATTGTTTAAGTTGTTGTATGTAGTGTGTAATGAACTGTATATATTATTTGACACTGAAATAAAGCATAGCTGCTTGTTTTGTCACGCACTTTGTGCCGATCGCCGGACTGGTTCAGCCTTTGGAGCGGTTTTACCGGTTTCATCGGATGTTGGAACCCAGATAGGCACGCTCTGGATATAATCAATGATCATCTGTATTTAATGTCATAGATTACAATTAAGAATTTTATATAATGAACGGCTGCAATCTTGACATTAATTGCCCACCCATACGTTTACATTAATAACACCACAACCTGACTCTTATTAAAGCCATAAATCACCAATGGCTCTTATTCGCCAACCCGATACATTTGAACATTATTTGATCCTTACCCAATATACAGTTTAAACTAGCCTTTGCCTCGTGATGGGTTACGTGGACATCTGTGAAAAAGAGCTTTTTAGCTTTTCAGATTCTCTAATATAAATAAATATTCAGATTTATATTCTGGCTCCTCTGCCTGTATCTAGTGGCCTTGCATGGACAAACGCGATTTTTAATACAAAATATTGCAGACCTCGCCAAATGCGGTGGGTTACGTTCCTGTAAAATGCCGTGTTGGACAAAGCCACATTAAACAATTAATAGACAAATAGGATTGCGTTCCTGGGTCCGAAATGATTACTCCCTCTGTTTAGCTGATTCTACGAGATTTCCACCCTTATTGTACTAAAAGGTGTTGAGTTGCTCTCCATTTCTTGTGAGTGTGTACACTTTTATTTTCCAGTTTCACCCCACTCAGTGCCTCTTCTCTCCCTGTAGTCTGATAGAGTGCTCACTGACGGACAAATCGATCCCAGCTCTCCATGACATCATGATCACCAACAAAGCATTGAGGAAGCTCGGGTAAGTTATGCAGCTTGTGTCTCATACGCGCTCTGATTGTTGCTACAAACAAAACAACTGAGATTCGTCAGTAACACTGTGGCCTTAGCAGGAGAAAATATGGAAAAGGCAACGTTTTGGAAATTGACCTTCACACCATGTTTGTGTGCTAAGAGAGCCATTGCCAGAAGTGGAGTGAGTAGTGGAGTGTATTCCAGTGCATTTAATATTCTCTTTGGTTCTTTCGGTAAAGTCACGTAGAAAATCTAATCAAATAATAATAATAGAATAGACGTTCCGATTGCAACACAAGCAACCATCATCAGGTAAGAATGAAAAAAATGGCAAACTTAGAAACACAATGCAACACAACACAGAACCGAACAGCACAACAGCCAACATCCCACCTGGTTGACCCCGCTCCTCCAAATAATGACAATATTCATTATCAGACCAATGAACATGACCAAACGACTGGAAATGCGCCTGATCTTAAATCTGCAAGATAAGCAGGCTTTAGCCTGGAGTGCTGAGACGGGTGACCACCGCACATAACCACAGGAGTTATAGGCAGCAGAGCTAAGTTGCAGACAACAGACTGCAGTGTGCAGCACAATCCACCGTTGTACTTCACTACGATCCTAGATCTGCAGTCCTTGCCATCACAGGCCTGCACTGACCCGCGTGGTGAAGTATGGTGAAACAGCTCTCATGGCATGGGGAGACCTTCATCCAGCATGGTTGTTGTGGGGGCTGCGTGGGTCTTTGTGTGAACCCGCGTCAGCGTGAACCTCTCTCTTGCTGCAGGGTGGATGGCACTCGCTTCAGTGAGGAAGGGAAGCAGGAGTTGAGGAGCAGATGGACTCACCGAGGAGGCCTGGATATTTAGATATAAGCTGAGAGGCCGTGCTGGCCCTGCAGCAGATGGAGCTGGTCCACGCACGACTTGAACAGCAGCCCGGCTCATTTTACCTCCACCGCTCCGATCGTCGACCCTGACTCTGAGACGACAATGAGCTGGGAGCTTTCTCTGTGAGCTCCACATGGAGCCAAGGGTGAACGCGACTCCAAGATGCTGATGAGTGTGGTGATTCCAATAATGTGTAATAATGTGTAAGTGTATTTATGAATATGTGGTATAGGGAAGCGATGTTGGTGGCATGTGGAAGGGGTGTCGGTGGCTTTTAAATGGTCTGGCAGCTCACCATTGTTTCACTGAGTAGGAATGTTTGTCATGAATGTGCGTACATAGGGGTGTGTATCACACTCATGCAGATATCCTCGTCTATTTATGTATGACTTCAATATTCACCCTCTATCTTTTTTATATTCATGCATTTTAACTTTCAGTTGCGCTATGATCGGTCTAAAAATAATCTTCCAAGCCGACTTCAGATATAAGAAATGTACTAACGATTGTTATAAAGTTGTTTTACTCTGAATTCTCTTTCATTGCTCTAATTGATTAGTTTTCGATTTTGGTGCCTCGGATCACACTTGCAATTGAAACTATCCAGGTTAAAAACCTGGCTAAACAAATACACTTGATATTTCTTATCTTTGATTATACACATCTGTATACCAAATAACAGCACTTCAGCCTCGAAATGCTTAACAACGTATCAATAATTCAATTTTAATGTATACATTTATTGGCAGACTGTCATTGTCTGGATGTGGTCTGGGAATGTTTATTGCTGTTGTTTTACTGCCTTTCCCAAGCTTGGGAACTGATGCAATTTGAACTTGCATACTTTTAGGTATTTGTTTAAGTAACGCCATGGTGGTGTGATGTCATCTTCCTCGCCTGGTATGCAAGAGTTCAGGGGTTGGATTTCGACCCTGACACCTGCTGTATAGTTGGAGTCTGCATGTTCTCTCCGTGGTCACTTGTTTTTTTTTTCCTCTGGGTTCTCCAGTTTTTCTCTCCATATTTAGAAACATCCGTTTACATGTATTTGCTGCTATAAATTTTCACGTGATAATCCACTTCCTCGAGCTATTATTAGTGGCTTGCTTCTGAAAAATTAGATAATAGCTCTGGGCCTTTCCTGGTAAGATAAAAAAAAGAGTTTAGTTTCATTTGTATATTTTAAGTGATTTGTTCACCTTTACTTTACTGTGCACTCTTATCGTGTTGTATTGTATTGGTTGTTGTAACTTTTGTCCTGTCTCTACTGCACTCATTGCATTACTCCAGTATAAATGTTCAGATTCTGCTATTAAGTGTAGATTTATATTTATATACTCAGCCTTAACTGAGTATCCATCGCAGTGTGTAAACATCAGCACTGGGGAGACAAAGGTGGCCGAGCGTGGCACTGGCCACACCACACCCTCGTGTGCCATGTCAGCCTGAATAGGTGCTAACTAACTGGACTTTCCCATACAGCTTGTGGAGGCTACATGGGGAATCTGTGTATGTTTCCTCGTGTGTGTGTGTGTACTGTATATGGGGGATCTGTGTTGTACTTGTGTGTGGGGGTAGCCGTGGTTTAGATGGTGATGATGAAACACGGGAACAGAGAAGAGACTCCCAGCGACTCCACTCCTCCGCTCCCAGTGTCAGCGCGTTGAGCTTTTGATGCAGGAGGTTTAGGAAATGTCCATTTGTCTGACTCCACTTGCTTCTCTTGCTTGTCAAGCATTCTAACTTCTCGCATGGACTACGTGCTGGAGAATACAAACTCGGTGTAACTCACAAGAGGACTCTCCTGGTTACTCATGCGGCGTTGCCATTTAAATATTTCAATGTTATTGAATAGTTTTGATATTGTGCGCAATGCTATCATCGACCGTACTAATGGTGTCACGAGACTAATAACATAATGTTTGGATATCTCACGGTGCAGTGCAAGCATTTGTGTTCGATAGCGGCCCACAAAAGTGGATATCACAGAGCTACCAGTCAAATGCATTCCACTAACACTCGGTTTCAGACAGACCCATAAACTGAGATATCCGCAGACTCACATTTAGATATAAAGACTCATATAGACACAAAAAGACAAACAGAGAAATGTACTCACACTGAGCTAGAGACTTACAGGGATGCATAGACTCACACAAGGCACACAGTCTCGCTTCGACAAACACACTCACAAAGAGACTCATATCAACTCAAAGCTACAGACTCACGAAAACGTCCAGAGAATCATACAGAGAGCCCCCCCCCCCCCCAACTAGCACCGCCCACTCTACCACTAGGGATGCCCATTCCATCATGAGACCCGCACACTCCCCAACGAGGCCCGCCTACTCCCTCACTTAGCCCAACCCACTTCATCACTAACCCAGCCCACTACCATTAAGATCTGCCAATTTCACAGCTTGCCACGCCCACTATACCACTAATCCCTCCCACTATTATCCCACTCCTAGTTAATTTTCTGATCTTTAACCGTCTGGACCACTGTTATTCTCGTCGTCTTGGTCTCCCTGAATCAACCCTCACTCTCCTCCACAAATACAAAATTCTTCCACACAAGTTATTTTCAATCTACCATTTATTTTTTACATTTTACCTCTCCTACTTCAACTTCACTGGCTTCCCGTTCACTACCGCTGCCTTTTAAAATGCCTGATGCTCATCTTCAAATCTTTCTAGGGCCTTGCCCTACCTCATCTTGCCCCTCATCTCCTTCCATGTGCCCTCTCGTCCTCTCCGTTCCCAATCTTCCCTGTCCCTCCATCTCCCTACGCCCAATCCTTCTCTCTGGACACCTCCACTGGAATAACTTTCCCCAGCACATTAAGCAGTCCCCCTCCTTAACCTCATTCTGTTCCTCTCTTAAAGCCTCACCGCTTCTCCATTTCCCATTCTCTACCCCTCCCTCCCCTATCATTTTGTCTTCTGTTTTCAGATGGCTGATGTAGATGCAGAGTAACAACTACAATTTCACATTCAGGTGGTCAAGCCAGATAACCACGTCAAGAGTAGCGCAGTGTGTCATTGTCATGTGGATCGGACATTGCTTCATTGTATGTTGATTGGTCTGTTCTGGATGACCACAGTTGAACACTGGAGAGTTTTTAATTTTCCATTTGTGCATCAGCTATCTGCATCTGCCATGGTTTGTGCAGTGGATGCGGTTTAGGGTGGACCATGAGCTTCTTGGAAGATCAAACCCAGGGATCTGCCTTGGGCCTTTCACAAGGTGTTCGTTAACATCTCGCCACCAGATGAAGTGAACACCACTACGGTGTGCTCGGGATGGGTGTTCAGTCGTGATCATTTTAATCCATTCTATCTCACACCTGCCCACCGTGTCGTGGCAGTTTTTCTGTTTTTCCTGCATTGCATTTTTTATTTTAGAAAATATTTAATCTGGAAAATCCATTGCGATAGAATATCTTACGTGCAACGGTGCAAAGGAATATCAGGTGGAGCAGTTGCAGTGCTTAGATGCACCACACGACAAACCCATGGCCTGAAAGCAGTCGAGTGAAGAAGAATCAGTCCTGCCCCCCCTCGCTTCACCAACCCATACAGGGCGTAATGGTGAAATATAGAAAAAAAGCATTTACTCGTTGGTTCTATTCGGTAAAGTCACGTAGGTAAAAAAGAAAATAACAAAAATCACGACGTTTCGGCCACAACACAAGTGGCCTTTCAGGTGAAGGGACCGTGCTGTCATGAGGACAGCGTTGGAGTGAAGACAGCCAAGCCCAGGTCGCGTCCTTTAAGCTATGTGGGAGGAAGCAAAACGCTTGACAAAGGAATTCGCATAAAAATTAGCATGATGTACGTAGGAGGTGCATGGGCCATGATGGACCAGGAGCGGGTGGGGACCATGACGGACCAGCAGCGACCGAATTCGCGAGCACAAATCAGATTTGAAACACGGCAGAACGAATTCTGCCGTAGCTGACCACTGTTACAACGCTGTGGGTGATCACGATATAGTTTTCTCCGATACCAAGGTTCTCTGCAAACCCACGGGTTTTTATCAGAGATTTGTCCACGAGGCAATTCAGATTTACAAACACAGACACAATTTCAACCGAGAGGATGATTTCAAATTAAGCAATCATTGGAAAGATGTTCTAAATCAAACCACACATTAAACAAATTTTCAATGGTACAGTAATTTTTTCTTCAAGTAGTGGTATTCCAAACTTTCACAGCTGCATATTTCACTCCACACACTCACTCCACTCACTCACTCCGCTCACTCACTCACTCCACTCACTCACTCCACTCACTCACTCCACTCACTCCACTCACTCACTCCACTCACTCCACTCACTCACTCCACTCACTCCACTCACTCCACTCACTCACTCCACTCACTCACTCACTCCACTCACTCCACTCACTAACTCCACTCACTCACTCTACTCCCCCCCCCCCCCCGCTGCTGGTCTGTCATGGTCCCCACCCGCTCCTGGTCCATCATGGCCCATGCACCTCCTACGTACATCATGCTAATTTTTATGCTAATTCCTTTGTCAAGCGTTTTGCTTCCTCCCACATAGCTTAAAGGACACGACCTGGGCTTGGCTGTTTTCACTCCAACGCTGTCCTCATGACAGCACGGTCCCTTCACCTGATGAAGGCCACTTGTGTTGTGGCCGAAACGTCGCGATTTTTGTTATTTTCTTTTTTACCTACGTGACTTTACCGAATAGAACCAAAGAGTATGGATCCTTGCAGTCACGAAAGCTTCAAATCTAGAATTGATAACCTCTACGGGGAGGGCTTTCACCTATCTGTTAGCGCTTTCAACAGACAACGGGACAATAAGTCAAAGCTCATCGAGACGCTGACCTTCCTCAAAAGATGCCGCGACAACAAGGTAATACCCATCGCTTTCACACTAACATCTGCTGCTGTATCCTCACCGAATTCTAAACAGATTCTGTTTAAGGCCAGCCTATCTTTTATCTCAGAGAGGATAAGACTACTCCGTTTTGACTCGATACTTTAGACAAGACTCTCCTACAAGCTCATTTAACGCTAACACAAAAATGTCACCTGCTGATTGGAACCACGTAGACAACATGACTGCTTCTTCTGCCGATTCACTTTCAGTCAAATACAAAGCTAACTTGATTTCTAAATTCAACCACCTATCGAAGAAGAACCCAGTCCCACATATAACAAAACTAGACGTTAACAAAATCGTCATTAATCAGAGTAGCACCCCGATTTCGGACAATCTGAAAACAGTACTGGCTAGAGGGCTAAATTTTGCTGTCACCCCGAAACATTCCTGTAGATATCATCTTTCAGGTCGATGCGGCCCTTAAAGGCATAGGACACATCCAAGCAGACGTTGCGAGAGCTGAAATATCCACTATTCCTAAGAATGCTAAGAAATGTTGATTTAAAGCTTTCGTGACTGCAGTAATTCATATTCTTAGCTCTTTCGGTAAAGTCACATTGAAGGGAAACAATAAAATAATAAAATATATATAAAACAAGAAAAAAATTCTCACGACGTTTCGACCATAACACAAACCATCGTCATCAGGTGTGTCGGTTTGCATACATTTATTTATTTTTAAACGGTGTATTTTAAACGGTGTTCTTTGTA